AGCGGTGCTCAGGAGACCACAGGACATTGAAACCAAAGATGTGGGCGCCTCACCTCCTGCGTTGTCTGGCTTGTCGATCTTATTTTTCCAGTAGTGGGCTGGTGCTGGCTCTCACCTGTCTGCGAGGGCCTATTATTACACGCCCGACTTCCCAGTTCCATGTTCTGTGACTTTGAAATCTTGCATGGCGGGAGTATTTATACCAGTGCGCCATGCTTTACCTTTTGATAATAGTTTAATTGCTGTGTGTTACAGACTCGGCTCCTTTGACAACGAACTGTTGTTCTTCAGCAGATTCAGCTGCTTGAATGTTTTCATTTTTATATATTTTGAATAAATTTTGGCATCTAGAGTGAGGTGCAACTCAAGCCAACTTGAATTTTCCTCAAACAGTAATTAATTTGTCTCACTCTGATTCATTGATTAGTCCCCACTATTTTCACAAATGTGTGATTATTTCCTTCACCACATATGATTTTTTTTGTAGTCTAGGGTTTACTTCCAGACTCTTCAATGCTACAGGATTATTGTAGGTTCTATCGCTTTGTTTGTTTTTTTTTTCATTTGTTTTTATTTGAGGACCACACCTGACACTGCCCAGGGCTTACTCCTGGCTCTGCACTCAGGCATCAAAGCCAGGCCTGCTGTGTGCCAGGCAAGTGCCCTACCTGCTGTACTACCTTTCCAGCCCCTCATATTTTTATGTCTAGTAAGACCTGCTTATGTGGATGGGTTTTAATGTTACTTTGGCAATAATAAAAAGAAATTGGGATTATTAGTCGATTGAATTAAACCTATACATAATTTGGGAAAACTCACCATTTCAGGAACATATTATGCCTTTCTTTCTTTCATTCTTTCTCTTTTCTTCCTTCTTTCTTTCTTCCTCTCTTTCCTTTCTTTGCTTCCTTCCTTTTTTCTTCCTCTTTCTTGCTTTCCTTCTTTCTTCCTCTTTCCTTTTTATTCCTCTTTCTTCTTTCTTCCTCTCTCTCTCTGTCTCTGTCTGTCTCTGTCTCTGTCTCTGTCTCTGTCTCTCTGTCTCTCTCTCTCTCTCTCCCATACCCAGCAGTGCTCAGAGGTTGCTCCTGGTTCTACACTGAGGAATTGCTCCTGTCAGGCCCAGGGTACCATATGGGGTGCCGGGAATTGAACATGGGTTCAATTCAAGGCAAGGCAAGCACCCTTCCCGCTGTACTATTGCCCCGGTCCCATGCCTTTCTTTTCATTTCAGACACTTTTAAAAGATTTTAGTAGAACTTACACTCTCAACCTAATATCACTGAACTATAGAGATGATCCCTGGGCAGGGGTGCATGACTGACTAGTCAACCTGGAGGTGAGTTCAGTCCCCAACACAGCTACCTCACTACAGCCCCTTCATCACCAGACAGAGCTCCAATCCCAAATAAGAATATGACCCCAAAAGTACAGTCTTAATACCATAATTAATACCATACGTATTGTATCAAGTTTATTCTTCAATATGTGGTGATTTTTGCTTTCATTTTAAATAGGATTTATTCTGTGTATTGCATTATATAATAGTGTTTTATATTCTCTATAGCCTATATGTGCATCACTTAATCACTTAATCACTTAACTTCCCGTTAGTCGTCGATTTGCTCGAGCAGGCGCCAGTAACGTCTCCATTTGTCCCTGTCGCGTGCTAGTGTAGCCCAATGGCATCTGTTCGCTCCGGGAACATGAAGGGCCTCAAACCGATCGTTCATGATCTTGACGAAGAAGTCTGACCATCTGGTAGGTGGGCGGCCACGTGGTCTCTTGACATCCCGTAGAATCCAATCAGTAACAGCTCTAGTCCAACGGTCATCTTTAAATCTCATTACGTGACCAGCCCATCTGATTTTCGACACCTTGGCAAATGAGACAGCGTCCCTGATCCTTGATCGTGGATGGATGTCAGAACTCCGGATTCGTTCTCTCATTTGAGTGAAACGTGATATTCCAAGCATAGCTCTTTCTTTTCTTCTTTGGGAGACCTGAATAGTGTTCTCATCTTGCTTGCGTAGGGCCCAAGTCTCTGAGGCATATGTTAATTATGTTAATTATGTGCATATTTTATGCAAATGTAAAGTTTTATTTCATAGTATGTATAGTACAGTGGGTAGGGCATTTGCCTTGCATGTGGCCGACATGGTCAACCCGAGTTTGATTCCTCCGCCCTTCTCAGAGAGCCTGACGAGCTACCCGTGAAGTATTCGATATGCCAAACACAGTAACAAATCTCACAATGTTACTGGGCCTGCTCCAGCAAATTGATGAACAATGGGAGGACAGTGACAGTGACAGTGATATTATATCTATAATGTAGTTGTTAACCACATGTAGCAATGTAAGGTAAAAGGTAAAGGCCCTCCCGTTGTTCGTCGATTTGCTCGAGTGGGCCCAGTAACGTCTCCATTGGAGACTTTGTTGTTACTGTGTTTGGCATATCGAATACGTCACGGGGAGCTTGCCAGGCTCTGCTGTGTGGGCGAGATACTCTCGGTAGCTTGCCAGGCTCTCCGAGAGGGGCGGAGGAATCGAACTCGGGTTGGCCATGTTGGCTGCATGCAAGGCAAACGCCCTACCGCTGTGCTGTGTAAACTAATTATAAAATCGATTTAAAAATGAGTTCCTTGGGGCTAGATTGATAGTACAGTGGATGAGGTGCTTGTCTTGCATGCAGACGACCTGGGTTCTGATCAACCCATTCAGTCTATCCGACCTGCACCAGGTGTGATTCCTGAGCACAGTGCCAGGAATAAATCCTGAACATTGCTGGGTGTGGCCCCCAAACAGACAAAGAAGTTTCTCAGTCATGCCAACTACATTTCAGGTACCTAATGACCACATGTGGTTTGTAGTTCCCATATCAAAGAGTTCCAGATATGGAACAAATGTTGACCATTGCTGCAGAAAGTTCTCTTGTGGAACGGTGTGGTACTTGTAATTACTTCCTTCTTCCTAGTGTATTGGTCTAGAATCTTTATTTGGGAGCATTTTTTTAATGTAGTCTATTAGATTTCCTAGGTTGAGCAGTTGCTCCTGTCACCAGGGCTCTGTTCTATTTTCTATCATCATTTTATCCTAATCCTCTTTATCTTGAGGGCAGGGGTGGGGAGCACATACTATCAGTTGCCACTCTCTATCCACGTATGTTACAGACATTTCTAATAATCCCAGAACTGTGCCGTTCCCTGATCTGCTGTGGTTCCTAAAACGTACTTCTCCATATTCCCTCACTTACATACACACAACATTAGGTATAATGGGATGGGGCTTCAGGGCTTTGGAGTCAGACTGCTGTGCTCAAGGCTTCCAGGAAAAGGACAGGCCTCACCTGACATCAGTGCATTCTGTGAACATCCCTTTATGGAATCCCTCATCATCATTTCTTCACTTTTCACCCTGCTGTTGTCACCACCTGGGTAGGATACTACCTAGGGCTCTTTCCTCTTCCAAGGCGGTGCTGGTGGAGGCGATGCATCTGGTCATTCAGGTTGCGGTAGAGCCTGGAGCTTCCCAAAGTTGAGTTCTTCTGCTTTGATAGGAGACTTTTCCTAGATGCCTGGGACTTCCGCTCTGCTCTTTCGAACTGTACTGGACTGAGGATTGTCTTGGCTCTGCCACAGTACCTTGCTATGTGACTGTGAACAGACCAGCCTCCCTTTATAGCATGCTCATGCTGACAAAATGGGGAGGGGTAGGACCAAGATGAGACTCTGATTCTGGACCTCTAACCTGGGTTGCCATTTACTAAGGTTTGCAGTCTGGACACGTGGTGCTTGGTGTTGGGGCGATTGCTGGGCTCCGCACTGTGCTGATCTATCATCTGGGAGGCGGGCATCCTTTCTGAGCAATGGGCGGGCAGCCTTCTGGGGACATGGAACTGGTTTTGGATGCTCAGGCAGAATCTGCAGGACTGAAGAGCAGAGTGGAATCAGGACTTAACTCCAGGAACCTCTAGCAACTGCCAGCACCACAGGAAGGGACTGTGGGTCCAGCGGTGGGAGAGAATCCAGTAGCTACCCACATGGCCTTCCCAGTGCTGTGCCTGGAGGGGTCCAGGGCCTGCGTCCCCTTCTGGCCGCTGTGGGTACTGGCCACCCCAGCTGGGAGCTATAGTGGTGCCAGTCACCCCCATGTACTAGCATGCCTAGAAGAGTGTCAATGTTGATGAAGGCGGGGGGTTGTTTGGGCTTATTTGGGACATGCTCAGCAGTGCTCAGGAGGGACCCCTCATGGTAATCAGGGAACCATCAGTGGTGTTGGGGATTGAACCAGGGTCGTGGTGTCTACAGCTGTGTGCAAGGCAAGTCAGTGCCTTCCTGCCTGTACTATCTCTCTGGCCCCAAGAACATCTGTAGGTCTCAGTGTTTATCAACATTCATCTGGGGCTGACTATCTAACATTTACACATCTAGTATCTCCTGGGCCCATGCCTTGGAGATGGATCCAACCCCGGTATCAGAAAAAGAGGATCTTTCCCCTAAGAAGGGCAGCAAATATTGTGAACATATGGTGTATTTCTTGTATTCTGTGCTCTGGCACTCTGTGTTCATGGGGGTGTTCCCGACAGTGCTTTAGGGGACCGTGCAGTGCCAGGGATCAAACCCAGGCCTTGTGCGTGTGCTGCTACCCTCTGAGCCATGTCCCTTGCCCCACATGATGCCTTGTGTATCCAGAGGACCCTAAAGGGGAGGGAAACAACCATCTTTTTGTGGTGGGTTATTAGCCACTTCGAGAGATAGGGTGACCATGTCTTACTGACCAGCCCTTTGATCACGGGGACCAGACCCGGTCCCCCAAAAGTGAGGCGCATCAGCATGTGTGGATTCCAGCCCGCATCAACCCCACCCCTCAGGCCCAGGAAGACCTCTCATCGGAGAGTTCTCCTTTCTAGAACTTGCCACCCTGCAGCACTGTGCTCTGGGGTAGGAACCAGTCCTGTCATTGGCCTCCAGCTCAACTCACCCATTTATCTTTTTCCTTCCAAGCTGTCTTTTGGGGAGACATCGCCTTAGATGAAGATGACCTGAAGTTATTTCACATCGACACGGTCAGAGATGGGATCAGGCCGTCAGAGGAAGGAGCGGAACACGGACACGGCACAGGTGAGACCTGGGTCTGCCCCACATGCCCTAGAGGGCAGCCTCAAGACATGGAGCACAGCCACCAGGATTAACTGGCTGACCAGTACCCACTGGCCTTGGACTGCCTGGGGAATGTCCCTCCTTACTGCAGGCTCTGGAGGGAACCTTCAGGATTTCTGGCCCTTTTGTGAAAACCTCCCTTTGCCTCTTTTTCAGAGGCACTGGGCTTGAGCTCAGGGTGCAGCCTTGCGCTCTGGATAGATTCCCAGGACCCTTGGATCAGGGTCCAGCACTTTCCAGCTGCAGGAAATGCCAGGATGGCAGTTCTGTTCCTGCTGCTAGGCACGAGGAGCGGCAGGACAGTGTCCACACATAGAACCTTGTGTCCCTGTTGGCGTTATCTCCTTTCTTTAAGCTTTCTGACAGAAATCTCCCCCACATTGCTGTGCGAGCCTGTTTTTTTTATTCTCTCCCCTTGTTATGTGGTCTTCTGTTGTATAAACATCCTTATTTATCTATCCTTCTGTTGACAGAACTTTGGATGGTTTTCAGTTTGGGGCTATGATAAAATAATGTGGCAGCTGCCGTTCTTGTATGTGTCTTTGGTGGACACGAGCATTTTCTTATCCAGGTGGAGGTGCTGGTCTTAGGGTGCCCATAATTTAGCTTTAATTCAGATACTCACCAAAACTTTCCCAAAATGGTTGTACTGTTTGTACTTCATATGTGTACATATTGACTTGGAAAGCAGGAGTGAGCACCGGGCTGGACCCAGTGAGTTTTGGGGTCTTGGTCTCTGTCTTCAAAGTCCTCCCCATGCCTCTATCAGTGATGCTCCCCTCCCGAGGGATCTGTCCTGGCACTTCATGGAGACCCAGGCTTGGTCAGTGTGAGTGGCAGGTCCCAGAATGAGGCTGGGAATGCCCAGCATCAGCCTGCTCAGCTGCGGAGAAATGTCTGTGCCGAAGGTTTTCTAAGGATGCTACAATAAAGCAAGCTTCGCAGTGCAACCCTCACCTCCCGTGTTCCCCCACAGCTAACCTTTTACTTAGACCCTAAGAATTTCAGTGGAGAACTGGAATGATAGCAGCACAGGGGTTAAGGCACTTGCCCTGTACATGACCAGCCCCAGTCCAATCCCTGGTACTGCATATGATCCCTTGAGCACCACCATCCCTTCCTCCTCCAGCTTTTAAAACTATTTATTTACTTGTCATTTTAATGTTTGGGCCCCACCCAGTCAGGGCTTACTCCTGACTCTGTGCTTAGGGACCACAACCGGCAGTGTTCGGGGGACCATATGAAGTGCTGAAGACCAAATCCAAGTCCAGTGTATGCAAGGCAAATGCCTCCCCTGTGTTTTTGTCTCGGAGTTTCTCTTCTATCATTGCCCTCTCAGGGCCAATAGATACTGTGCTTGATTCCAGAGAGTTCTTTTATTTTTAGAATGGGAATATTTTTTATTGTTTTTGCTGATTAAACTAATACTCTCCGTTCTTTGGGATGAAAGTGGTATAGCTCAGTAGTGTAGAAAGCAGAGAAGAAAAGTGTGCTGTCTCCCTGCCCCGGGGGTCCCGTCATTATCTGTTCGCTGGTTTTCTTCCTGTCACACTGAGCTCAGACTGTGTGTGTGGAGATTTCCTCTTGTTGGTGTTTGTCTTGATTCGGGGATCAATGCAGCGGTGCTCATTCACATGCAGTGGTGCTCAGAGTCACATGCAGTGGTACTTAGAGTCATGCAGCGGTGCTCAGAGAGTCACATGCAGTGGTGCTCAGAGTCACATGCAGCAGTGCTCAGAGTCACATGCAGCAGTGCACAGAATAACATGGAGCAGTGCTCAGAGTCACATGCAGCGGTGCTCAGAGTCACGTGCACTGGTTCTCCGAGTCATGCAGCAGTGCTCAAAGAGTCACATGCAGCAGTGCTTAGAGTCACATGCAGCGGTGCTCAGAGTCACATGGAGCAGTGCTCAGAGTCACATGCAGCAGCTACTCTGTGCTTGGGGTGCTGCCGAGTGAACCTGGGCCCCCTGGTGCAGTGCACTCTCTCTGGGAACTCTCTCCACTTGTCCTTGTCTTATGCATCTTTCTCTTCTCACCACACCATGTGACTTTATTGTCCTGGGGTACATGATGATGTGCTGACCGCTCACCGTCACTGACATTTGTGGTCCTGTTGGTCCACCTGGTTCCGTGCAGATGGGCATGAAGGTCATTTCTCTGTATCTGCATTTTTTTTCCTATTGGAAACTTCTACGGTGAGTAACTTTATGGGGGATGGGGACCTCTTTAAACACCTACGGTGGTTTGTTCCTCTTCCCTTTCTGGTCGTGGGTGGATGGGGGGTCTCACATTTGGTGCCAAGGAGTATACCTACAGAGCTGAGGCTGTCCTCAGTGTCAAGGAGGGGCTGGGGGAGAGGAATGGGATTCAGTTCACGGCCTCCTACTCTGTCGCTGCGCCCCATCCCTGGGCCCTTGCTTTTAGACAGATAAATGAAAGGGCCAGAGAGAACAGCGCAGGTTCAGGGGACATGATCCTGTAGCACCCAAAGGCTCCACCTGGCTTCAGCCTGGTGGCTCAGCCCCCACGGGTCTTCTGGAGCACCACATCATCAAGTAGTGCTGGAAGGAACCTGTGGGGCTCCCTGAGCACTGTTTGAGTCTCCCCTAAAAAAACACCAGACAAATAATACATTAAGAAGGTGCTTCCCGGGGCTGGAGCAATAGCACAGCGGGTAGGGCGTTTGCCTTGCACGCGACCAACCCGGGTTCAATTCCCAGCATCCCATATGGTCCCCTGAGCACCGCCAGGGGTAATTCCTTAGTGCAGAGCCAGGAGTAACCCCTGTGCGTCACCAGGTGTGACCCAAAAAGCCAAAAAAAAAAAAAGAAGGTGCTTCCCTTGTTCCTCCTTTTCTGTTTTCCAATGTGTGGAGCCTGGATTCTTCCCTCCTTTCTTAGCCATGGCAATGCCTTGGGGTTTGGGCTGGTGGGGGAGAGAATGAGGTGCTGGAAGCAGGTGAGAAGCGGCCCTGGAAGCGGGTAGCTCTGTACTGGCCACTAGGAAAGCTGCTAAGGGTTGTTAGGGTCCCTAGTGGGGACCACCCTCCCTGCCCACTTTGGGGTGCGGCACACCTGCTAAACAGTTCCTGTAGACTCTTGCTGTGGCTGTTGTTCCCGTCCTGCTTCCTGAGACCTTGAAGCAACCGAGTGCCCTGGACTGTCCCCCCAAATTGATATCTACCTGCAACCTCAGAAGGTGACCTGCTTCAGAAATAGCATCTCTGCAGAGTTCTGAGCTCCCGAGAGGAGACTGGTCTGGCTTGAGGCTGGGCCTGTAACCCCCGAGAGCAGTCCTGAGAGAAGCAGGAGACACCGATGCAGGAAGGTCTGGAGAATGGAAAGAGCAGATGGAGCAATACCTACATCATGCAGGAGCGTCTAGCAGGGGCTGCTCCAGCTCCCCAGGGAGCTGGACCAGCCCACGCCTGGACTTCAGACTTCCGTCCCCCCTCCCCCCAGTGAAAGGAACCGGTCTGGGGGCTTAAGCCACTCAGTGGGGTCATGTGTTGGCCCTTGAGAATGAATCCAAGCTTTAAGAGTCTCTGGCGGTTCCTTCTTTCCTTTATTCAACCTTCCACGTCTGCCCGCCCTGACTCTGCTCACGACCTCCACTCCCAGCTCCCTTCTCTCTGATGGTCAACAGGACAGACAAACATACTACGCTGTGCCTGCACAGGCCCCCGACTCTCTTCCTTCCTGCTTCTATTTCAGCGGTATCCTCTGTGCCAAGACCACATGTTACAGAAAGAGAAACGAAGTCTGGGAGAAAGCCAGGGACACACCCCAGGGCTGCCCTGAGGACCAGTTTCCTCAGCCTGGATGCCAGCTAGGGAGTCCTCCTGGGGGTGATGGAGCTTTGTGATGTGCCCTCTTTAAGGCCAGGTTCTCCCCATGGGGGGACAGACCCCTCCCCTGGTCGGGAGCTGCTGGAGGAAATGGCAGCGGTGTGGCTGTGTGTGGGCAAATGGGCAAGGCCAGAGAGAGGTCCTCCGGAGAGAAAGTCCTCTGTGTGCATTTTATTTGCAGCGAGAAGAATGGCAGTCCTGGGCAGGCATGGGCCAAGCTGTTCTATGAATGGGGCCCTTGAATTAACATGACAGAGTCTCCTAAAGCTGCTAATCGGATTAGCTGTGTCATGAAGGAAGTATTTAGTAGGACACACACAGACACTCAGGCAGACACACACACTCCCCTGAGCCTCTTGCATCCTCCAGACATGATGGTGCAGGACCCGACACCCCCGTTTCTGAGCTCCTCAGATGCCTCACCCTCCTCACCACACAGGATGGGGATGAAAAGCCTGGGCGGTGGATGTTTTGGACATTTGTTTGTTTCTTCCCTAAAGAGTTCAGGAAGCCAATGTGGAACATTCCCATCTTTGCGAATGTCCAAAAACCTGGAGAGGAAATCTCTTCTTGCAGTTATCTCCATCCGGAGGGGGGATCAGATGTCTCGATCTTTGTAATGAGGACACTGAAAGGGGAAATGGTTTTAATTACTTATTGGCTCTGATGGATGCGATGTTTCCCGCCTTGTCTATTCTGAGCCATTGGGCCGTGTCCATCTCTATTTAAGAGACCAACTTTGCTCTAAATCTGCCCTTCCTAAACTCCAGCCATCTGTGGGAGGTGTCTGCGTTAGACCAGTGGTTTGGGCATCCTGGTTTAAAAATAATGAATGAGAGCCAGAGCAATAGTACGGGTAGGGTACTTGCACCTGGCTTGCCCAGGTTTGATTCCTGGTACCCTATATGGTTCCCTGAACCCCATCAGGAGTGATCCCTGAGCACAGAGCCAGTAGTAAGTCCTAAGCACTGCGGGGTATGGCCCCAAACCAAAAAATAAACAAAAACCTGCAAAGGTTATAAAAACAAACAAATCAAAACCTTCTGAAAAGACTTGTAGAGAAGACAACTTTCTAAACTTTTTAGAATGCCAGGTTAAACTCTTGCGGGAG